ACTGAATCTAAACAAAATCCAAAGAAATAAAAAGCAAAATGGCTACATAGTTTAAAATAGGTTAATTTGAACACAGGAAATAATCTATTTATCTTTCGTCTCTTCTTCTGGTTGATAATTAGATGAAAAAAGATCCGCAATGGCTCCTCCCTTTCCTAATCTGCTTTTTACATTTATTTTGTGCCTTAAAGATTAACTACAAAAACAAACATGGCCATACATACATTGTTGTTTACTCTTCCTTTCAGCCTTCATCCTTCATTTCTTCTTCATTTCTCCACACACATACACAGGGGAGGATACCAAAAAAACTGAAATAATCTTTTGGAGGGCAGGTCCCTTGTAGTACAGGTTTCTCCCACTAAGTAAGTGTTCTAGAAACCCATCAGCATCAGTGTACCAGCTAGCATCGTTGTGAGAGGCTGTGATTGGCTTCAGTGAATTTTTTTTGAGAATCATTGCATTTGCCTATTCTATGGCAGGTGTTTTATGAGTGCACCTGTCCACACTGCCCTGAATAGTCCGCAGTTTTTGACTAAAATTGGCGTGACCCTGTGTCCTACCCTCCCTATTCACCTGATCTTGCCCCAAGCGACTGTTTTTTTGATTCCCCAGATGAAAAAGTCCTCAAAGGGAAACATTCTGCCAATATGAAAGAAGTGGAACAAAAAACAGCAGAAGCAATTAAATGGCATCAAAATTGATGAGTTCAAAAACTGTTTTGAGTAGTGGAGAAAGCTTCTTGATAGGTGTATTGCATCAACCAGAGAATACTTTGAAGATGACTGTGTTTTAAATGTAAGAATAAATACACAATTTTTGATTCATAAATTCCAGTTTTCTTGGGAGGTTCCCCCATATATATATATACATCTACATATACACATTACATGTATTTATGTATTCTCATCCATGGCATCACCACATTTAACTCTGAAAATTTGACTTACTATTTTCTCCTAAGAATATAGATGCTTTTATTTTTTATGTTACTATTTAACTGTGTAGAGTGGACCAAGAGAAAACCATATTGCATAAGAAAATTTTCCTTCAAATCATGTTTTAGTATCCATGTTGTGTTAGAGATTCTAGTTCACTTTATCCCCCAAAGCTATTGCTGAATAGTGATTCCTTACTATTCTTTCTAAGGAAGTAAATAGTAACTTTTACAAAATAGAATGAGCTAAAATATCAAGGGGAAAGCTTCATTTCCTCTGTATTCTTGTATCATCTTCCCTGTTTTAACTTTTTAAAGTTTTGATGGTGCCAAGTTGAGTCTGATTTACTATTTGTCAGCTTTGGATAGAATTTAAAGTATATCTTTTGAGGTCGTTTTATGTAACAATTAGATACAACCTTTGTATCTCTGTTCTTCTTCAAAGTTAATAAAATTCAACTTAGGTCATGGAGTTTCCATATGAGGGCCAGCTAGCTATACTGGTGTCAGGTAGGTGTTTTGAGTGGAGGTAGTTTAAGGCTGGAGGACTGGGTTGTTTTCAGGATGAGAATGTGGTTGGGACTGTTTTGAAAGGAATTCGTGGAGTTTGTGAAATAACTTTAGAGTTCTCTTTCTTTACAATATTTTAATTCATATTTCTACCTTCTCAAAATAAATTAGTTGTTCGTTTTTCCTGGAATTACAGAAGGGAGTTATCCCTTTTATTAATGCTGTTTTGTTTGCAACTTTGATGGCTTACAATAGCAAGTATTCTAGTTGTAAAGAAACTCTTTAGAGACTTTTCACTGGTCAGTGTACTGTCATCTTAGGTATGAGGTTTGACTGATGTTGAAGAAAGCCTACAGATTGCCAAAATAAAATGTAAATGCTCCAAACCTTCCTTTCACTCAGAAAATGAGACAAAGAATGAAGTTTTCTGTGAATCAAATTTGCCAACCAGCTATGTGGATATTACTTATTCTAGGACTAATGAGGACAAGCTGCCAGTGTAATGACAATGAAAATTTTGAGAGGAAGGAATCATTCTTCTAGATGTATATGAACACCTATCTATATCTGCATGTATGTATGTTTTACCTGCAGTGGTTGCAGTGTTATGTGTTCAAGATCATTCGTGTCTACAGAATTGAAGGCCCATGTTCAAATTGTTCTTTATTGGCCATTTTTATGGTCACATGGTAATAATTTGCTTACCTAACTTATAAAAGTTTCCCTTGATAAACTGTTTTATTTAATCTTTTCTTTAAAGAGCTTTCGTAGCATTATAAGCCCAGTAGAATGAAAATGTCTTATTATTCTAGCCTATATTGTATTTTCTGTCAAAGGAAAAAAATTCTCAAATAGTAACCCTAAAAATAGATTTACTACAGTAGAATAATTACTAAAAATGTTTATTCCAGGTGGTAGAAGGATGGTACAAGGAGAGATTGTAGTTATTTAAGGGACAGGTATGTTCATTTTAAGATATTCTTCTCATATCAACCTGCCATGGGACTTAGGGGCAACATCTATATTGGATTTACTGAAAGGTACTAGGCTAGAATGCTAGACTTTTATTTGCAGCAGGTTTTAATGTTGATGGATGCTGACTTCTGGTTTGGTGTGTTTATCTTCTGGGAGAGAGAGTGGAGGACTCAACTAGAAATAGCTACTGATGACAGACTTTAGTGGCAGCTTACACTCCATGGTTACCTTTTCTATTTCATGGTATCTTTCACAAGGTATTACAAATAAGCTTGATTATCCCATTTTGGGAATGCCAGTTTGCTACATTTTTAGCCTGACAATACTTGTGTAGGTATGCCTTACTGGAAATCCTGGAAACCTCTGATATTTTCATCTTAAATGTAGGGCGATATATAGCATTTAAGGATAATGGTGATGTTTATTACCCTCTACCTTGCACTTTGTCAGAGTCATTTTCACTCTGTTTTAAGTGTAAGCCTCTCCTTAAAATTATGTTCTTGCCAGTAAATTTGTAAATTGCATACAAAGACAATATCTATTGTTAACAGTTAACTTTATGAGGTGACTATATCTATTTCTCTGAATTCATTTTTTTAATTTGCAGAATACTGTGTAGTGTTTAACACGGTATATAAGATTATGAGAGAAGTGGAAAGCTTTTCTTCCTTGAAAAGTGAATATTTGTTGAGATATCATTTGCCTCATAGAGAGGTGTTTTCCACTCCCCCATCCCTGTTGCAGATAATGAAAATCTTGGAAAAATTGACCTAGAGCAAAGAGTTTCGAATCTTAGGTACGTCTCTGTCTGCAGAACTCCTTAGGCAGATTGCACCTTTCAGTTCTTTTACTGAATTGGATCAATATTAACTTAGTTTTTGTTGTTTGTTCTTTTGCTTTAAATATTCTCCAAATTATCATTTATGCAGCAAGGTTAGTGTTCATAGTACCTGATATGCATTTATTCTGTTTCATGCATTTTCCAGTGCTGTACAAGATGACCAATGCTTGTGGTATCCTCATCTCTCACTTGTATACACTGTGATCTTAGCACAGTAGGGTACTGCAGAGACTTTCCAAGTGTTCTCCCTGACTTTGTTTCTTGGGCCATTTCAGTATCCTCCACATCATGTGATTTTTGTTGTTGTTGTTATTATATCACCGATCTGTGATTGGCCTGTTTTACTCTAATTTACAGAAAAATCATGTCCCAGTATTAGACTATTACAGATAACTCTGTCTTAAATCAATGTACGATTCTACCTTCCTTACTATATCCTGGGCAAATGCATTTTTTAAAAGTTTTGATACACACAAATCAGAGCAGTTATCATGAGGCGTTGGTTAGTGTGGCAGACTTATCAATTCATCCCCTCGAGCCAGTCAAGGGGGAGGAATAGGATAATACAAAACGTTTTGTCTTCTCATTTTCAAATAGTTTGATCATGTTAAAATAAGTTTTGTTTTTGTTTTTTTAGTTCTTGTTTGTAGAGTCAACTAAGTACTCATTTATATTTAAATGCTGTCTTTTTTTTTGAGGTGTTTTTTTTTTTTTGTAAATAAGGTAACTGGGCAATCAATCACCTTTTGGGGATCCTGGCTTTAGTATTTTATCAACCATTTCAAGATTAAATTTAAAAATATATCCTTTGTAGGAAACTTGCATCCTGATTTTTCTTTATTGCAGTTGAAAATGTAAATAATAAGACAACGTAAGACCTTCCTAATGTCTTAAATAAACTGGGCTATAGCAAGTTGCCCTATTTTTATTAGGTTTTGAAGGTTTTGTGTTGTTCTTTTTTTCTTTTTTAAATGTACAGTAGAGTGGTGTCTGTATAAGCGTTAACTGTAGTGGGATTTTGTCCAGCAAGCCTGAAATTTATACTTTGAAATAAAACTACTGGGTTTTTAACATTCTGAGTGCTCTGATTCATTCTGATTATTCTCAGCCCTTGTGTTTTTTCTTTTGAAAATCTTCCACTTTGTTTAAAAATCACCCATTACATAATGTACAGTATGACTTATAATCTGCTTGGCAATTCTACGGCTCTCAAACCACGTGCACCGCTCCAGTTTTGAAAGAAAGCTGCTATGAGAGTTGCTGCCAGATGATTGAATGGGTGCTTTTAACTAACTAATGAGAGGCAACAGTAAGGTTAGTAAGGTGTGTGCCTAGCCTGCATCACAGAAAGACTCAACTGATGCCTATCAATGCCCAGAAAAACCCCTTCCTGCACTTCTATTAGAGGTTCCAGCTCTGCCATACCTTAGTGCTTTGTGATTAAGCATATCCATCCAAGGGAAGGGCAGTCAGGTTCTTATGGGTCAGGCATGGAAGGGCACTCGTTTTTGGTTTCATCATCTAGAATTGTCACATGGCAACACTATTTAAGGGACCCTGGGAACTGCAGTCCATGTGGACAGGCATACAAAGAGACCAATGTGGATTTTGGTGAAGGAGGGAGCAGTTTCTGCCCTACCCTCTTGTGTGCCTAGTGCTGTTATTTATATATGTAATGTTTCTTCTGCAGTGCTACACCTTATAGTGAATGCTTGCTATTAAAAAATCAGTGGGAGATGAAAGTGACAATGAATTTAATATATTTTATTGCATAACCCTCATGAGAAAAACATAGTTAAAATAATGCCTTTGGTATCCATCCCCTCATATTCTTTCATTTTATGTCAAGTTTCAAAATTGGTTTCATAGTAACAAAATCAAAGTTGTAGACCTCTGGCATGCCCTGATGGAGTGTTTTGTTGAAACGGTTCCAGTGAAAAACAGGGAGTCCATCTTGTACTGTTGGACCACTAATGGCATAGGCTGTGTACTGAGATGCTAGGTAGATATCTGCCACCTGGAAAGAGAGAAGAGGGGTCATTTTAGAAAATCATTTGACAAAACACTTTAAAATCCATGGCCTCCCCCATTCTTTTCCAAAATCACAAAATAATTTATTTTGCAAGCCTCCACATCTTTGTATGACATATTCTATTCACTTGGCATTGCACGTGAATTAACTAGTAGACGTGTTAAATGAACTTTGTCAAAAGTGACTGACATCTGAAGCCAGATTACTCATATTCACAATTCTAGCTTCAAAACTTATTTAAAAATCACAACCCTTAGATAACTCAGTTTTCTCATTTGTAACGTGGGCCAGTAACCCTACCTCATAGCGTGGTCATGAGAGTTAATGCGAGCGATGCTCAGAGCAGTGTTCAGAATATATTAAGTCCTTAGAAACAGTTCTTAATCAGGGCAGTCACAAGAGTCTTCAAGTGGAAGAAGCTCACGTTTAAAAAAGAAAAATGAGGGCCACGAAAATGCCTAGCCACTGAGCAGCAGCAGATACTCATCTAAAAGGGGAAAGAATATCTCTCTAAATTTCTACTTTTCCCTGTATTCAAAATGTCTCTAAAGAGAGAAATTATATTTTTTAAGTATACCCTTCAACAGGAACTTTTTGATGAAAATATGCCAGGGCCCTGTCTCCAGAAGTGAGATTTGCTCGCATTACACAGAAGCTTGGATTGGTCTCTCCCAGGATTCTGGGGGGGATATAACTCTTCACAAAACCTTACTAAATGTTTGCAAATTACTACAAATAAATACAAAAACAGTCATTGGAGCCTCATCTGTGCCTGTTCTGTATATCTATCTCTTTTTTGTTGTTTTATATTATACAACATGTTGAGAATCATTAAGGCTAAATCTTTGCCGCCATTGCAGAGCTAAAAGTAGGCTGAGCTGGAACTCAGACTGCCCTAAAACATCTCCTTTTCAGATATTAGGCTGATAAAATGTGTAGGTGGGGTCGACATTACTATAATTTTTTGAGCCAAAGACAGAACAAACAGTTCTCCACTCCTTATAAGTTTGTCCTAGACTTTAGGGCAGGCAATGGAAATGAAAAGATATGTTTAAGCCAACAGTGCATAAGAATGTGGTAGAATGTTTCCTTCCACCAACCAAATGGCTAACTCATCCATCCCAAATCCAACAGTGTGCAGGTAAATGTTTAACCACCAGCTCTCTGAGGAAAAAAGGCCCTGAGTTGTAGTGCTTGCCAATTTCCACGTTGTAAATATTCCCACTGTGGCTGATTTCAAGCTATCAACATGTCATAACTGACCAACAATGGTTTCTTGCATACCTATATGATCTGGCTTCAACACACCACAGCAAACCTATTACCTGTATCATGACATAAATTACAGCACTTATCAATTCTAACATGGCAAAAACCCCTTAGTGCTTTGGGCATCTGGTCCAGTACTTGTTCCTTCAGCTAAATTCATGTTTAACGTGAAATAACACTGCTCTCAATAAAGTGTTCTTTTGACTTGGGGCCAGTCTGATAAAACTTCAGACAACAATATCATCATCGCCATCATCATCATGGTTTTGTACATGTACAAATAAGTCACTAAGCTCTGTTCTAAACATTTTACAGATAATAAAGGTTTATTCTTTACAATACCCTATGAGGTAAGTACTGTTATTTTCATTGTATTGATAAGGAAACAAAAACATTACAAAATTATGTGATTTTTCTACTAAGTGGCGAAGCAGAAACTTGAAGTTAAGCAATGGAACCTACTGTCAGAATCTGAAAACACTGATGTTTGAATTGAGTATGTTTAGAGACATTATTTTGCTTTATGCCACAAAAAGGTTTGCAGCTTTGTCTTTCAAGAGTCCTGTGTGCTGGTGGAAATTAAATTCAAAAGTCAATAGCATGTTACCTTTGTGTCATAACAACCTCCAGGACTTGGGTTAAGTGAGTTTAGGTCCTCGCGGCAGCAGATGGTATTACAGGGATCACCCTTGCTATAAGGATCCTTTTTATAATCTAGGAAACAGAGGGATGGGGAAGAGAGTGAGTATTGGAGATTCTGAGACACACATATCCACAGTAAGGTTTTGGGACCTATTAATGCCTAGATAATCAGAATTTCCAGAGGCCTCCTCAGCCCAGCTTGCTTCCAGATATGGACATCTCCCTTGGCTTCTAGGAAGGAACAACTGCAAGTCCCCTGAGGCCCAGCCTGCCCTAGGGAACTTTGCACAATGAAGAGTGGATGGAAGAGAGACAATAGAAGATAAGTATGCATCATTTTTTTTCCAACCAAAGAAATACATATTTGAAACTGGGTATGGTGACTCATGCTTGTAATCCCAGCACTTTGAGAGGAGGAGGCAAGAGGATTGCCTGAACCCAAGGGTTTGAGATCAGCCTGGGAAACTTGGCGGGACCTCATCTCTACAATAAATAAATTTTTTTAAAAAGAGCCAGGTGTGGTGGCACATGCCTGTGGTTCCAGTTGCTTGGAAGGCTGAGATGGAAAGGATCACCTGAGTTCGTCAGGTCAAGGCTGCGGTGGCCAACAGTGTGCCACTGCACAAGCCTAGGCCACAGAGCGAGACTCCAACTCAGAAGGAAAAAAGACACATTTGACTTTGATACTGCTCGTAAATTATGAATAATTTTTGTTTTATTAGCTGCTTTTATCTTTAGAAGGAAACGTCTTTGGAAAGAAAAAAAAATACTCTGCATGGGTTATTTTTTCTGTATTTTGTATATAACTTGAAAACTCTTGTCTATCATTTTATAAAGGAGGCCCAAATTCTATTTTTTGAGTATAAAATATGTATAAGTTAAATATGAAATACTGAATTCAAATAGCTTCCTATAATTTCTTCAAGTACAGAGATGATAAACTTACATAGATTCTTTCTCCATGGGGAAGAAAAGGAGTTTTGAAGAATGATTCTGGAGAAATGTGCTACGTACTGTTGTATCGCATGATATATTTCATGGATGCCATGTCGGTCACTCTTCCTTGGTCGCGCCGGAAGATTTTGGCTCGCGGAGCTAAATCATAAGAGTAGTCCAAACCCAGCTTCTGAACTAACAGTGGATAGCCACTCCAGTTGTAGATTTTTTCATGGAAAGGAATATTGTAGGAGGGCCAGTATCCTGATTTGGAATGGAAAGAAAAGAAGAAAGGGAGGTGCAGGGAGAGTGACAGAAAAGAAAAGAGAAAAGGAACAAAATAAATGCATTACTGACAACAGTTTATCTTGGAAATTGACACACATATTTAATTAGAAAATGACATTGTATAGAAAAATAAAGCTTTGTGAACCCTGAAAGCTAAATGCAACCTTGTAAGTTTCCTGAATTGGTATACCTCTAGATTATTTCATTAGGAGAAGAGGATCATAATGCTTTGGTTTTCACCCCAAACTCTTAATCTATAAGCCAACAAATAATCTTATTTTCTGTAGAGCAAAATAGAGTAAGGTGCAAAGTGATCTGGGGAGCTCATCTAAGTGGATTTGGTTACCGAAATGCCAAAAGATGGTGGTTCACAATGTGGCCCTAAAAAAAGAAAGATGTCTGGTGCTAATCATGGGGTAGAGGAAGAACACAGCACTGGGAATCAGAAAACTGGAGTTCTAGGTTCGTTCTTAGGCAGTTAACCTCATTTTCTTTTTCTTTTTAATGTGTGTGTGGAGAGTCCATAATGTGAAGGGATTAGAGATGATTTTTAAGGCTCCAGCAGGCTTTTAACTCCTTTGACTCTAAGCATTTATAAAGGCTCAGCTTCATTCTAAGCTTCATAATGTGCCAAGCCACACGGCCCACTGGTCACTAGAGCATATGACAAAGCTCTAGTAAAGCAACATTTCAGAAGCATGCTAGACTACACTGGCCTGGGTTATTGCCCATAGAACAGTCAGTGAACACAGGGATGTCTCCATCATTCAGGGAGTGATTTCCCACCTTCTTGGCCCTTTTCTACCCTTCTCCTTTTCACTGTTGTAGAACCCCCTGTTCAGGGATGAGGTTATTGAGACAAAGAGCAAAAGACAAGACATTCAGCCTTGCTAATTCTGGGATATCAGGAAGAACTGAGATAAGGATGACATTGGAATTATGGGGTAAAAACAGATTTGTTGCTAAAATATAACTAGGTTAAACAGACTCAGGAATTAGATTGCTTGGATCTGAAGCCTGGTTCTGCCATTATTAGGTATGTGACTTTGAGCAAATTACTTTACCTCTTGTGCCTCAGTTTCGTGAACAATGATAGTACTTGTAATGTACTTAAAATATAATGTACTTATAAGGACTATTGTGAGCATTAAATGTGATCAAACAGATGGAGCTGGCTGGACACCGTGGCTCACACCTATAAATCTCAGCACTTTAGAAGGCCAAGGTAGAAGTCCAGGAATTTGAGACTAGCAACATACCCATCTCTACAAAAATTCAAAAAATTAGCCCGGTGTGGTGGCACACACCTGCTCCGAGATACTCAGGAGATTAAGGAAGAAGGATCACCTAAGCCCAGAAGGTCAAGGCTGCAGTGAGCCACGATAGTGTCACTGCACTCTAGCCTGGGCAAGAGTGAGACCCCCAAACTCAACAAAACAAAACAAAAAACAAACACAGATGGCGTACTTATGATAATGTCTAATACTTGGTAAACACTCAATGAATATTAACTGTTATATTTCTTTATGAGAACATCTCAAATAATAAAAATGGCTGCTTCATATTTCACATTTTCATAAAGTTTCATGACTTATAAAAGCATTTAAAATCAAGCAACTTGTTTAATATCACCACAACCTGATGATAAGTATTACTATTGCCTTAAAAAAAAGCATTTCAGAGAGGTCAAATGATGTCCTTGTTCAAATGATGTCCTCACAAAACTTGGTAAGACACTGAATACAGGTTTTCTGACTCAAACACCACAACTGCTTCCAAATGCTAAAAGATTTGTGGACTTTTTTTTTAATGGCTACATGATATCACTTATTTATTTGGGCAAAGCATGTTTATTTCTGAGTCTTTCCTCGCAGTAAAATGGCAACAGTAATACAGTAAGTCCCCTACATATGTATTTTCAAGTTGCAAACTTTCAAAGATGCGAACATGTGTTCTTATGTCCAATCATGTAAGTTAGTTCACATGTCTGGTATACATTGTCATGTGTGGACATCCTCTACAAGTGGTTGTGCTTTTGTGCACTTTACAGTACTGTGTACAGTCAGTAGTACAGTATCTTTATTTCAAGTCCAGGATGTCAGAAAGCAAGCATAAAAGCAGCAGTGATGCAACTGGTACTGTATAGCTGATTGTGTTGGTTGGGTACCTAGGCTTTGTTGGAATTACAAACGCACTCTCAGAACAGAACTTGTTCATATGTAGGAGACTTGCTGTTCTTATCTGGTGAAATGTTATGATGATCAAGCAAGAGAACATAAGTAAAAGACCCAGAAGAATGTCTAGAACATAGGAGGTATTCAGTAAATGTAACTCTTTGCTCTTCCCTCCTCTGGCAAAAAAAAAAAAGGAGACAGATCACCATCAGCTCTTTTTAGTCCTAGATTAGTTTCATGGGATCTAAGACTACCATTCTGTTACCAGGAACTGCCTAAAGAAGAAAGACTATTCTAGCAAGTGTGTCTTTTCTAAAACATGCTACTATCATTAGGCTCTTAGGAGCTGGAGGGACCAGACTTAAGGTTTAACAGCTGGATTTTCAGTTTTGAATCGCTATATACTAACCAAGTAACCTAATGATAGGACTTCTCGGGTGGATTTTCCTACAAGAAAAGAAGATCTGCTACTTGGTAGCATATGAACCGCTTGACAATTGAAACTTCCACCTTTAAAAAATCTGTTTTATGCAAAAGATGCATGTGTATTTAGTTGGTGTGAGCCATTCTCTGCCAAGACAGCTCACTCCAGATGGCACTACACAATCAATTTGGGGAAACAGGACCAGACCCTGATCTTCAGGGTCCATACTTTATCTTGCTTTGGTTCTTACTCATCTATCATCTGATCTGCAGCGACCTCCTAACTAGTCTTCTTTCTTCTTTCCCATCTCCAGTCTATTCTCCCTTGTCAGTAACTCCCATTTTCTAAAGGATAAAGACTAAACTGCCTAGCAGAATATACAAAGCTGAAGTTTTATCTCACTACCTACTTATCTCAATGAATTATCATGACCACCCTGTGAAATTGTAAAGATCCACACTCTCCCATCCAGAAATTCTTAGGGGCCAGATGAGTTTCAGAATCTAGGGCTTTTCAGATTTTAGAACAGCAATGGAGTGCGTATATTATATATAACATTACACGCTCCTTGAAGAATACCTCATATTCAAAGATATTACTATTTCTGTAGCTTACCTCCCCAAAACTCAGAATTGTCTGTTGGAGGGTAGGTCCCTTATAGCGCAGGCTTTTCCCACTAGATAAGTGTTCTGGGAACACATTGGCCATCAGTGTACCAGGTAGCGTTGTTGTGAAAGGCTGCGTTTGGCTTCACTGATTTTTTTTTTTTTAGATTCTTTCAACGCATTTGCCATTTCATGTTGGGCGACTTACGAGGGCACCTGCCCACATCGCATCGAATGTTCAGCCATTTTTGACCCCAAACTGCATGACCTTCATTCCCCACCCTCCTCATTCATGCCAAATCTTGCCCAGAGTAACTTTTGTTTGTTTGTTTGTTTCTCTGAAGGCAAAAAGTTCTCAAAGGGAAACATTTTGCTAATGTGGAAGAGGTGAAACAAAAAACAGCAGACACACTAAAAGACCTCAAAATTGACAAGTTCAAAAACTGTTTTGAGCAGTGGGGAAAATGTCTCAATAGGTGTATTCCATCAAATGGAGAGTATTTTGAAGGTGAATGAAGTTTAAACATATGAGAATAAATACACAATTTTTTAAATAAACAAATCTCGAGGTTTTTTGGGTCCCCCCCCCCAGTCTCTCTCAAAGGAAACAAAGACAATTTTAAAAAGTTCAAGTCTATTTATGGCAGTTTTTGCTGCCAAATGAGTTCATATCAGACAATATCTTGCTACCAAGTAAGCTGGGACCAAAGATGAAAAACTAAACAAATCAAACAAACAAAAAACTATTTTTGGTTTTAGAGTTTGGGGACTTCAAAATTGCAAATAAGTGATTGATGGTTCTGTTTTGCAGGTGAAGAAAGTGAGACTTGGAGATAATGGATTATTTCCCTGAGGTTTTAAGGAGCTGAGATCTGAATCAAAGCAGTCCATCGCCTGGCTTCAAAAGTCTGGATTATGCTCTTGCCCTCCGGAACTGCCTTCTCAGACCCTCCCACTAGCAACGGTGCCCTTTTGAGTCTCACTGCTGGGCTTAGTGCATGAGACCTTACCAGGGGTCTTCACATCCTGGGTTCTAATGGCAGCTTTGTGTGCTTTGCTTCCGTACTAGACTGAGTTCCTCCAGGTGAGGAATTTTATATCCTCGCTTTTCCAGTCCCTGGGTCAGAGGAGCACTCCATATCTATTTGGTGAATTGAACATAAAGCTTTCACCAGGAACCCAAGAGAGAAAATACTAGAGCTATGAGAAGTCAGGGGTTATGAATGCCCAGCTCATGTCCCAGTCTGTTCACTGTCCCCTACAAGTGTGGGTCGTGGGTTTACATGCTATGCTAAACCTGGTCAGTCTTCCCCAGTGTAACTAGAAGTGGCATCCCTGTCCTGTCTTCCCCACCACACACCCCACAACCATATTCACACAACACACATATATGCACACACCCACCATATATGCATGCACCCATTCCTCAGACTTCCAGGCTTACAGCATGAGGAAAGTACCTTTCCGTAGAACATCAGTCTGCTCAGAATATTCTACATATTTGGGGATTTGCTCCACAATGTACAGCGTGCCTTCATCTAGGCTGTGGTTCAGCTTCACCTTTTTCAGGTCCAGGACCATGTACTGATTGTTATAAGTGCCTGAAAAATCAGGAGACATGAAGGCAGGGTGTGGGTATAGCTTTACTGGTTAACAGGTCTAAATCTAGACACACGTTCATGCCCAAATGTTATTCTGCAGGGCCACTTACCAGAGTTGTATTTCGAGAAGATCTCCACCCACCTCTTGCCACCATTTGCCATCATATTGGCCACACGGACCCTCTGCCAGGCCAGGAGCGTCTCGGGTATCACTTCCTTTAGTAGCGTTTTGTTAAACACACTATTAGTGGTCTGCAGCAATATCAAACCACTGCTAAGGATGTAAAAGTCATCCAGAGACTCCAGAAACCCTACAGAAAAGACAAATATACGTGGCAGGATATATATACATGGAGTATTGAGCTATGATTATTAGCACAGAGCTTTACATGCACAATGCATCTTGCACAGATACCAGTGATCATCCTTGGTCTGCGGTAGCCTCTTCCAGTGTGGGCTCTCCTCGGGGATGAGCTTGCAAATAACATTTCATTGTAGAGTTTCTTGCTGAATTTAATTGAGAAATAAAACTGCTGCTTACAAATATGCCAGGAGACCTCCACTCCTATACCCCTCTGATTGAAAATTTTCGATTTTAGAATTTGAAATAACAAAGGTAGATTCAATCAGAAATATTCAAAGTTTCCAAAATGATCCCCACTTGCTAGGATTTTGCAGGAGAGCTTTTGATAAGGGCATCGGCAGGGTTCATTATTGGGTAATAAAAGTATGGATGCCTTTTTTCTTTCTACTTTTCTGTATTTTCAAATTTTGTATGAGTCTACATAACTTGTATAAATGGAAAGACATTTACATCTATAAATGTAGATGGTTTTGAAATTAGGGCACTGACACTCTGGGTCAGTGTTTTTTATAAATGTTGGTGGCAACACAGGAAAATTAGTGAAGCCACAGTTTTTTTCCAAAGGCCGATTTTGTGGTTTGTACTGGGATAAATATGGGAGAGATGGAATGTCAGACATAGCTGTAATAATGAGAGGATATACTGTCATCAGTAACTAACAGTAATGGATGACGTGTCAGTGCTGAAGAAGTGTCAGGAAAGAGCCTTAGTGGGAGAGTCTGAAGGACCAGATGAGAAGCTCCTTTGGTGCCTCCCTTATCAAAGGAATTAGTGACCTTATCACAGAGGACCCAGGGAGCTAGCTAGCCGCTTCCTCCATGTGAGGTCACAGCAAGAAGGCACCCTCCGTGAAGACGAGGCCCTTGCCAGTCACCGGGTCTCCTGGCCCCTTGAGCTCTGGCTTCCCAGTCTCCAGAATTGTGAGCGATACATTTCTATTGTTTATCAATTACCCAGCCTAGGGTATTTTTTTTTTTTTTTTGAGTTGGAGTCTCACTCCATTGCCCAGACTGGGGTGCAGTGGCACGCTCCCGGCCACCTCTCAGCCTCGACCTGCTGGGCTCTGGCAATTCTTCTGCCTCAGCCTTCCAAGTAGCTAGAACTACAGGCGCACACTACCACGCCTGGCTAATTTTTGATTTATTGTAGAGATGAGGTCTCGCCAAGTTGCCCAGGTGGGTCTCAAACCTGCGGGCTCAGGCAATCCACTCACCTTGGCCTCCCAAAGCACTGGGATTACAGGCTGAACCACCGAGCCCTGCCTGGGTATTTTGTTAATAGCTGCCAGAATGGACTGAGATAGTCCCAAACTTCTACCATCTTTATACCACTTTTATCATTTTCATATCTGAGTACTATCTACACTATTGTTTACTTTAATATTTTATTTTTTAACCAAAGAGTAAAAATTGTATCTATTTATGGTACAGAGTGATATTTTGATATCTGTTTACACTGCGGTATGGGTAGATCAAGCTATTTAACACAGCATTGCATAATACTTCTCCTTAAGTTAACTCGCTCTTTAAACTTGACATACTTAGCCTTATCACACACAATAATGTCTAAGGAACCATGGGTTTAATGTTTCTGGGTTTTTTTTAAAAAACAAATACATTTCCACTAACAAGCAAAAAAACCTTGTCCATGTGTTACACAACATCCTTTCACCAGAACTATGCATGCTGTTGTATACCTCCTCCAAGCCTGGCATGGTGGGTGGAGTCAGAGAAAGGTTCACCTGAAGCTAAAGATAAGACTTCAGAGCATGGAGGGCCTGCATTTTAGCTCCCTGCATTACCTGTCATGAATGTGACAATTCTCATTTTGCCTTTTGGTTCCTTATTTTCTTCCTCTGATAACCTGGAACTGAATGATGTCATTCAGCTCTAACAGTCTAATTTTAACTTCTTGAAGTTTCTGGGCAGGAAGTTTCGTGATGAAAGGAATGTCCAGCTAACTCTTAAGGAGTCCCTACAAGGCTGTGTCATTAAGCTGTACAGAGTTTTGCGTAAATTAGAGAAAGTTGCATACTCCAGAGGGTGAAAGACTTAATGGCATCCTTGAGTCAAATTTGTAATGGATAACGTCTCTGGGAAGACACAAGATAAATAGAGTATATGGCTTGAGATAGTGTAAAATGGCTCAGCCAATCCCAAACCATCTTTCGGGCTGGGGTCATTTTGCAGTGCTCAAATTGCACAACCATACTTGGCAGCCTTGAGCAAGTTCCCTGGTAGAAAATTTCTGTGAGTTAGAACACTATATTTCTGGAACAGTAGGTTTGCTTATTCACTCCTGTAGCAGCCTCTCTAGACACAAGAGGGCAGGCATTAATTAACATGCATAGGTGAATGAATAACACAGGTACTAATGTTTCAGGAGTAGTCTTTCATTTAAGAGCAAGATTCTTTATAAAAAAGGCTGGAAAATGAAAACATTTAGGCCACCCAAAGTTCTGGAACACAGAAAATGAATTGGCTTGCAAAAACTATAGCTGAGGAGGCTAATTCTATGGTTTAGAGTTTAAGATAATAAAGAAAAGGCCCATAGAGGGGACAAAGTTCTAACACACTGCCTTATAAAAGAAACAAATGTTCCTTGATTATGTTCAATTACATTCTTCTCTCATATGTCATTAGCAGTTTTGGAAAGGCAGACTATTTGAGATCAGGAGAAGGTGAAACACTACAGCGTTTTATGAATGCCATTCTTGCAAATAACATTTCATGATAAAGCTTCTTGCTAAATTTAATTAAGAAATAAAAGGAAACTCTTTTAGTTAAGAAAGCACATTTCAAGGCTTAAAAAAAACCCACTTGAGGTTGTGTGTGGTGGCTCACACCTGTAATCCCAGCACTTTGGGAGGCTGAGACAGGAAGACTGCTTAAGGCCAGGAAGTCGAGGCGTGGGCAACACAGTGAGACTCCTCGCCATGTCTACAAAAAAAAAAAATTTTTTTTTTTTTTTAAATTAGCTGGGCCTGATGGCAAACACCTGTATTCCTAGCTACTTAGGCTGAGGCAGGAGGATTGCCTGAGCCCAGGAGATCAAGGCTGCAGTGAGCCGTGATCGTGCTACTGCACTCCAGGCTGGGCAACAGAGTGAAACCTGGACTCAAAAACAAACAAACACACACTAACAAAAAGCACTTATTTGAATCACAAAAATAAGCAGAGACCACTCCCGTCAGATGCTGTGTCCTTCCACATAGTTCACCTACTGCTTTAGTACAACCCAGAAAAATTGATCCTTACTCTCCTGTCAAGTGCATTTATAAAGTGCCCATTTGCACACTATACTCATTAGCTGCTTCCAAGCCCAGATGATGCAGACCAAATACATGCCTTTCTTCTAGAAGAGCAGTTGGCCGAAGACGTAAGTAACAGGTCCCTCGTATGGAAAATAATTATATAAATAGCTGCATTTCCTCACCTCTCCTCTGTCTCCATTCTCTTCAATATGACTTCGCAGCATCTTTCATCAAGTGTTGTCTGTTTCTCCACCTCTAAATCTAGGCTGATATGGAACTTGTTTGAGCTAACAGAATGGGCCAAGTCTGAGTTGAGATCTCAAGAAACCCTTGCATACGTCTACTCACACTTGTTACCCTGTCACTTCTTTGTTAAAAGGCCCAACCTAGCCTAGTCTCTGTGATGAGAGACCATGTGAAGGAGGACCCAGCGGTCACAGCCAATCCCAAACCTGCAAGGGAGTTCAACTAAGGTCAGCAGAGCTCCCTACCCAACCCACAGCCAACCATGGATGCATGAATGTGCCCAGTGGCGATGTTTAGAAGGAACCACTTAGCTGACTTGTGGACTCCAATGCAATAATGGGGGCTCGGTGACTCAGCCTGTAATCCCAAGCCTTTGGGAGGCTGAGGTGAGTGGATTGCCTGACTCCGCGGGTTCGAGACCCGCCTGGGCAACTTGGCAAGACCTCATCTCTACAATAAATCAAAATGAGCCAGGTGTGGTAGCGCACGCCTGTAGTTCCAGCTACTTGGAAGGCTGAGGCGGAAGGATCGCCGGAGCCCAGCAGGTCGAGGCTGCGGTGGCCGGAAGTGGCCACTGCACTCCAGTCTGGGCGATAGAGTGAGACTCCAACTCAAAAAAAAAAAAAAAATTACATATTGCTTTCAACCACAAAGTATCGGGGATTATTTTTTAATGCGGCTATAACTAACTAATATGATAACAGTAATTTAATTATACAGTATGTTTTGCTTTTTTTTTGAGTTGGGGTCTGACTCTGCTGCCCGAGTTGGAGTGCAGTGGCATGATCACAGTTCACCGAAGCCTGAACCTCCTGGGCTCAGGCAATCCTTCTGCTTTACCCTCTCAAGAATCTGGGACTACAGGCACACCCCACCATGCCTGGTTGATTTTTTTATTATTTTATTTTTTGTAGAAATGAGGTCTTGCTATATTGCTTAGGCTGGTCTTGAACTCTCAGGTTCAAGCAATCCTCCTTCCTTGGCTTCTCAAGGTGCTGGAATGACCGGTGTGAGCCATTGTGCCCAGCCAATATATTTTGCTTTGAAAGGTCTTGCTGCCATTTATTTTAACACAGATGGCTGTGACACTTGAAGAACTCTTTCCTTCTTATTTATTAAAAAAATAAATAAAAGTATCAACTTTGCACCATACTCAGCCTTTCTGTCTAGCTTTTTCCCCACTGCTGAGAAGAAACAATACATTTTCTCAGACTTCTGGGAAGAATCAGCCTTCCCTGAGCTGTCAGATTTTTTAAAAGTCGGTCTAACAGACAATCAACAAATGTTTATTAAATACCCACCATATGCCAAATATGGAGCCATGGTTCCCAGCCTAGAGACTGTATCTGAATTCCCTCAGGAACTTTTTCAAAAGGCTCCAGCCCAAGTCACCTTCCCTAATGCCCCCACTCTCCCCTCTGGGCCTCCATCAGAACCTCTGCTCTGAG